TGTGTGACATTACTGAGGCTGCACGTGTGCTCTTGAAGTGAGTGACAAATGAGACCCAGATTTCGTCAAAAACACCAGCACAATGACTTAAATTTTTACCTAGTGATGATAAAACTCAGCAGAAATAGAGCCACAGAATCAGAGAATGGTTTGGGATGGAAGGGCCTGAAGTCCAGGCTGCAAAGACAGGAGACAGCCAGTCCTTAAACCCTCAGTGAAACAAAGCCAAGTTCTTGTAACCCCAACAGCTGGATGGCCAAAGCCAGCCCACCTTGACCAGACCCCAGTGGCTCCTGTGAGGCCACTCAACAATCAGACAAGAGCCCAGCAAAACCACATGTGCTATATAGCCTTGGTAGCCACATAATAAGTCATACTAACAAAATATTTCAGCATTGCCATTAAGCAGCCCTGTTGTTCATGATTCCAGAGTGGAAGGTGACACTTCACTCCTTGAGTAGTTCATAGCACTCCTCAAATGAGCCTGTGCTGGAAAGTTCTGATGTCCAAATTACAGAAAGTGAAATTGCATTCTGCTTATCTAAATTCCCCACACAGTATCTATATACAGTTTTTATACTTGGCCTGCATTTAAAATGTCAGGTGCTGTTCCACACCAGAGGCTCCTGCCTGTCAGTCTGAAGGAATCATTATTATACATCTCTTGAGCTTATTCAAAGAATTTTGTTTTTTATTTTGCTTTCACTTATTTAAATAATTACTATTGCTGGCTGGAGAAAACTGTTTAGAAATGCAGTTTTAGCATAGTGAGAGATGAAAGCAGGGAAAACCTCTCCAGATGGTAAGATTAACTGACAAAATCACCTTAAATATTCAGAGGTTAAAAATACAGGCTTTTTAATGGTCAGTTTTCTAAGTCTATTGAAAATTGCCTTACGATAATTTGATTGGTGCCACAGTTAATAGGAAATCTTATTTTTATTCACATCCCCACAACTTCAAAGCTATTTTTTAGTAGTCAGTATATGGAATTAGAAGTTATGAAAAACTGTTGAAGAGGCAGCATTTTGTTGTGAAACTGTCAACTGGTATTGTTTATGTTCAAAACAGCAACAACACAGAACCAAATTATGCTTTTGTTGGCAATAAATTGAGATTCAGCAAAGAAAAATGCATCTGATGGAACCGTAATTGACGAATGGGGCATACATGCTCTGCTTGCATTTACAAAAAAGAACACAAGTAAATAAATTATCAGAACTTTATTTCTGTTACAAATTATCACAATCACAATTAATATAAAACAGAAAGCACTGAGGAAACATGACTGTTGGATACAAGATTTATCAAGGTGTAAAAGCCTTATCCAAGACTCTACTACTAGAAAACCTGTGACTGTGAATTAGAGAAAACATTTCTATGCATCAAACACCAAGTGAAAGAGAATAAGCAGCATAGTATTACTGACAAGGATTAAACATCTTGTTATACAAGTTTTAGAAGGAAATGGAAGTTGGAGCATTATTTCTACCCAAGAGTCTTGTCTGGAGCAGACTTGTTTACACTTAGCTATTAAGAAAAGCTTCAGCAGAAAACACCAATCTTCATTTTAACTTATCCATGTCATTCATACATTAGACAAGCTATTTCCAAAAGCATTTAAGTCATGAGACCTCACACACTCTCTTACACTTGCTGCATAAGGCTAAAAAGAGTCACTAAAGAACAGGAGGTTGCATTATTGCTTTGTAACAGGAACTTAGATGGAAATTCTTTATTGAGCTCCAAATAAAACATTGTTGCATCACTATACAGTTAAGAGTTTCAATATACAATGGTTTAAAAAGTGTATGCTGTTATACACTTTAAGGCTTTCATACAAGAAACGCTGAGCAGGATTTTCAGACTCGGTCTCGTCAGTGTCTGAGCACAGGGTAAGTACAGTGCTCTAAGCAGTCCGTAATTAACATGGCAGAAGCTCCTGAAAAAGAGCAAAATACACTTTATTTAAGATTTAAATAATATTTAAGATATTATTTAATATCTTGAGACTAGAGAGCATGAATTGTCTGAAACCTGGCAGATTGCAAGTAGAGGAATCAGACAATTATGCACATAATAAATGTATGGAGATCTAGGCAAGCACTGCAGAAACTGCTATCATTGAAATCCAGTGGAAATTTTATAAAAATTGTCAATAAAGATAAATAATTGATATGACTAATTATGACCACTAACATTACTTTTTTCACCAGTAACAGTCATGTGTCAGAATGCAAAACTACTAGAATGAAAACACACTTCTGAGTCTGTCACAATGGAAGAAAGGCTGCCTTCTACATTGGTTTCCTTTCATGTAGAGACCTTTCCATCCAGCTTATTTTTCCCACTGCTCAAAATCAAATGGATTTAAGAGACTGATCAACAAAAAAAAAAAAACCACAACCAAAAAACCCAAAAACAAACAAACAAAAAAAACCCACAAGAGAAATGTAACAGTAGAACAATGCTAGTGCATATTATTTGACAAAATGCCAAGGTAAGTTTTGCACTGCAAAAATATAGTTTTGAAGAATATCCAACACAATTTGTTTGAACTGATGTAATTTACTGTGCACACACAGGACATGAGAATTGATACTTTTTTTTTTGAAGAGGCATGGAAATACATTTTCTTAGGAGAAATAAGATGTATCTATGTAGAGCATTGGAAGAAGGAAGACTTAATTCATATGGTAATCATTCTCTGGTGCACTTAGAGCCAGCCTCTATTATCAGGGAGACACATTTTTCTGCCCCAAAGGGAACCTTAAACAATTTAAGCTTCTCTAGGACTTCAGGGCACAGTAGCAGAGAAGTGGCACAAATCACACATGCTGATCACATGCTCATCCTCCATACTGGAGGCAATAAGAAAATATGGCACTAAATAAAAGAGAGTTGGATAAACAACACAGAACACTGAATCCACTTCTGATTCAATTATTTATCTACTAGCCACCCTTGCCACTAGGTATTTTAGTTTCAACCCCTGAAGTTTCATTCTGTCTGTTTAATATAATACATGATGTTTGCAGATGAGCACTTCCTAGGTAATTCATCATATTATGTGATTTAAGATGTGACCAGAAAGAGAGATTGTGCCAATTGTTATAAATATTTTTAAAAGATACTTATATATTCAGTTTTGGCACAGCAATTCTAGCAGTTGTTATTAAATCTCTGCCCTCTGAGCCCCAAAGGGGAGAAATCTTCTTCAAGCTCTCCTACTCAGAGTCCTTTGATTTAAGCCCTTAAAACACTCAAAACAGTTCTAAAGCCATTTTCTATGTACAAAGGGTTCCTTTAGCCTGTGACAGCAGCCTCTTAAATTTACTGCAGTACACAGAGGCAGTGCAACTTATGCAATATTTCACAGTACAGAGCTCTATTTATCTGAGCCTTGTCAACTAAAAGCACTGAGATCATGAGGTTAGCAGGAAGAATTACTATTCCAAGTAGAAAAAAAAAAATCTGTTTTATTTAAAATATACACTATCTGAGCATAAAATCAGTTCAATTATGTCTTACTTTATATATTGAATTGACCAGAAACAGTAGAGCCAGCTTTTCTTTAGCTAATGTTTCTTAATGGATTTGTTCTCCCTTCAATTAACGCCAAAAATCAGTCTGCTACTTGTGCAGAAATGCTTGAATTTGAAAATCAGTTCACAGAATGTATTTTTCATATTTTAGATGTGTTTGCTCACAACATGAGTTTCAAATTCCTGTTTGAAAACTAAAAGCATCAAATTACATTCAGTTTCTTCAGCTTCCTCTGTCCAATCAAACACTAAATTGTTTGAGATATTGCCGAAGCTATGCACACCCTTCAATAAACTGCCAGGGGAGTGTCCACACACTGAGACAGCTCAAGGTCCTGATTAATTAAAGTTTACTACTTTCCCTACCAGAATTGACACAGACAGTGACACCTAACTTAAAGCTTTGTGCAAAATTAAGGACTCAATCAAAAGTTCCATTATCTATCTAATAATTTCACAGATGAGTAAAGATACCTACCAAAGTATCAGAAGATCAGGGTTTTTGTTCTCTTGGCTGTCCAAGGAGGTGAGTTTCCTGACGAGAGAGAGAAAAGAAAAGATGTTTTTACTAAATTTCAAAGCATTTCAAATAAAATCTAAAGAAAACAACGTAAATCAAACTATAATTAATAGAAACAATGCTTAAAAAAAGGCTTTAGATAACATTTGCAATGTTTAAGCTAGTAGAATTTATGGAAAAATAATATATTACAAACTATTGGTTATGAGGTTTTACAGTAGTTTAATAGGGAATAGTTTGTCCAAATTTAACTAGCTAAGCTAAGGCTTTTTAGATGACTAATACAAATTAAACGTTTTAAAATGAGAATTTAGGTGTCCTCACAAGTCTTTCCTACATTCTAAAATGAAACTTTCTAAGTTGTAGCCTCCCTGTTTTTATTGGTTATATTGAGATAACTTAAGTGAGATTAAAATCTTATTTGATTTATTTACCTTTGCAAATGAAGACCGTTTTAAGGGTTACACATCCTCTGCCTCTGACGAAAGCGACCTCAATTAGTCAAGTCAGAAATTCTTTAAAAGCTTTGTGTTTATTGCTTCCGGCACGGAGCGAGGTGGTCATTAACGTACCAAAATTCTCATAAAAATTCCAAAGTTGCACTAGTGAAAAAATGCTCAACAAGGTGAAAACTAGTCACATCTTTTTCCAGAAAATTCATTAGCTATTTTAAACCATTTTTTAACAAAAGTATTTTGATTTAATGTGGCACTCAAGCAGATCCATACCATCTGGATATTTTAAACAGCATTTATATCTACTGTGAGTATATAGAGAGATACATTTAGGTTTAAACCATTTTGTTTTAAAAGAAGTTGCACAATGTTTAATATGAGCCTTTTATGCTGATCGCTGTTAAACATTTCTCCCTGTTTACTACTATTTATGAAGTTTTATTATAAGATAGAGCATAAAATTAATCTCACACACACTGATTTTCTTTCAAAAGTTTATTTAGTATCAAGCAAGGGTAAAACTTTGCTTAACACTACAGAACATTTCAAGACTTGAGTTACAAAAACCACATTATTCGCATTTGTAGTTTGCTTCCCTTTTTACGCATGTTTGCAAAGAGAAAATCTAGCAAATGGCTGAAAATAAAAGCTAAAAACTAAATTGTTGAAAACCTTTAAAATAAAAGGTTACGCTTATGTTAAAAAGAATGGACTAACGTATTTAGTAAACCTATTTTTTGTTTAACACTAGTTAATCAAAGGTTATTTTTTTGATCACCTATTTTTTCAAACACAGTTTGGAAATAACAAAGTTCCTTGTTTTACATATCTTTCTGTCCAGGTTGTTCTTTCAACAAAATGTTTTAAGTTCAGTCCATCCATTCAGATTTTTTATGCACTTTGAGTTAATAAAAAGGGATTGTTCATAGAAAAAATTACTTTGAACAGTATACAGGACTGGTGGAGATTGGATATTTCACAACGTCAGACAGTACAATCAGTATCTGGCATATGGCTGGTCTCTGTAGACTCCTTTTGTTGTCCTTGCAGAAGGTGTCTTGTGTCGTGAGTTGGTCCATTCTTCTTGCCCTACAAGGAAAGAAAATATGGTCAGAGCCCCTCCAACATTCTCAGATGCTGAATGTAATTTTTCTTATCTGTGAACCAAACAGCCACATCCTGTTAACAGAAACCAAGGTGTACAAGTCTAACACTTGAAACAAAAAATCTGGGAACAGCACATCTATCTGAGCTATCCCACAGTGATTTCTCAGCACACAGGAGCAGGGAACATGACAGGCTAATGGCAAAAATATTTACGGCTGCGGAAATTCAGCTGGACCTGCTTGTTGCAAATGCACAGAAATGTCAGCTCCCATAGCAGGCACACCAATAATTGCAATGGGATGAAATGAATGGAAGGTATGAAATATGTATAAGGAAACAAGCTGCCCTCAGAAATAAGTTTCTCTGCATCAGTGCCAATTTAGGCCTAATTCAAACATGCAAACCAAGCCTTGAGTATCACTACAAACACCTGAGGCTTTTAACATTCTAAAGAAAACATGTAAATAATAATATGCAAACATACACCTCCTCTGAAATGCAAGAAATAGGATGGCACATTATTAAAAAAAATATATTAAAAGCACAAGGACCATTGCTTATTTGAATTCTGGCTATAAAACAAGCTTGTAAAAAAGATTGTGCTATATTTAATGATTCATAATTCTACCACCTTTTAATGGAAATAAGTATTTTTAAAAAGTAGAAAAAATTATCTTAGATGAGAGTCAGACCTTCTATGCCAAGCAGCTGAAAAAGGGAAAACACAGGACTAAATGCAGAGTATAAGGAAGAAGTACTTAGGTACAGTTTAATGATGTAAACAAATGAGAGTATTATGTCACATCTGCCAGAGAAAACATAAAAAAGCAGCACCAAAAAAAAAAATCCCCAAAAGTAAACACACCTTAAAACAGTCTGTGTGCTTCCATACTTATTTTTGCAGAACTGCCCTGCCCTAAACAGACAGGTGCTCCAGTGACCCAATGCAATCCAGAAACTAAAGGCAGAATCCAAATATATGGTAGAATAAAACGTAGACATCACTTTGTCTTTCTAGTCCATTAAAAAAAAAAACTAAAAAAAACAAACAACTCTGCACTTTTGAATGCTGAGGTAACTTGCTCTGACATGAGATATCTGAAATTAGATGACAAGGATCCCATATGTCAAGGGCTCAGTTTCACAATCCCTTCGCAGAAGCCTCATCCTAACTGCTTTTTAATAATGTAGGTGGTAGGTGGCTGCCTGCAGGGTCCAGGCTATAAATCATACCCAGGTGGTCAGGACATTGGCCTAGGAGGTAAAAGGAAAGAGTTCAAATTCGGTGTAAGGCTGAAAGAATTAAACCTTCACCTCAGGCGATTTTCACGAGCATCTGGTAACAACTTCTTGTGCTTCTTCATCACACAGAAAGCAAGATTTACATTAAAAAAAGGACCTAAATCTATGGGCAGCTGACTGAGGGGTAGGAATTAAAAATATTTTAAACACTCCTGCAAGAACTGTTTAAATGAAAAGAGAAGTAGTAGTTACAGTTTAAGGGGAATACTTGCTCTTTTTCAAACAGTTGATCAAATCAGCAGTGCAAAGAGTTACCTTAACGTTTCTCAGTTTTCATTTTGGTAATGTTCAGAGCTCCAAATCCTAAAAATACTGAAATTCTTCCTACATCCTCTGGGCTGTCACATGAATTTCTCAGAGGGAAAGTTCAGATACATCCTGGAAATCTGAATTTCCTCCTGGCAGCACTAGACAACTACCTGCTCACTAGGCAGTGTTACTTATTTTGAGGCATGTAATGTTCTTTACATACAGTGAAGATGGTTATTCATCTCTAACTCTGCTTTTAAGGGATATACTTAAGAAATTAAGTGTGTAACTACTTATACGTGCAAAAACTACAGTGGCTGCAACCCATAATCATTCTTCAAGGTATTTATAGTCTTTCTCTCAACTTGAATAAATATATCACTTAATATTCTAAGTGGCAGTGTTTTGATAAATAGAAAACCAATCTTAAATGCAAAAGCAATGAAAAATCCATATTTTCAACCTTAAATACTGCAATCAATAGCTCTCCCCCATCAGTCTATCTACATTAAGCAGTTTCATACATTTTTTTCCCCCATCAATTTTACATTAATGAAATAGTCTTAGAAATATCAGGTATATAATGGAAAACAGTTTATTTTAATGCTGAAATAACGATTTAAGTTATATATCTATCAACACCAACTGAAAGTGCTGAGGGACAGAGGAATTTCAAGTGACCTCTTCTTTTGATGAACTGTCCTTCTCCTTAAGCAAAATAATTAGTTTAAGCAGATACACTGGGCAAACTACTGCATTAGGTGCATTTATCACAACTCAGATAAGGTCATTTCAGTTTCAAGCAGGAAACACTTCCACATGGAGCTACAGAAATAGACCTCAGAAAATTTCAAGTGGTCATTGAAGCATTCATTACTCAGAATCACAACTTTTACACAGGTTACTAACAACCCTCAAATGTTTGAGATTTGAGAGACCTAGATTTTATTTCTCTGATCTCTAGCCAGAGACTTAACATTTATCCCTTAAGGAAAGGTGCCTTTTAAAATGCTTTATGCTTCTAACCCATAACAGACTTCTTTAATTAAACCTGTCACCACCACACTTCTATATTATAAAAAAGAAAAAAGTGATTTTTACAACTGGCATATGTTTTTTGCTTCATTACTCATTGTTTTGTCTCTATACAGAGTAACCCACTGCCCTCATGTCTGTTAGCTACCTAAAGTACTTCCCTAACCTTTACATAATGACTCCCTGCTTGACTTCCCAAGACTGATGCATGGAAATGAACTAAAACAAAAGGACCATACAAGGCTAAAACACACTCAATTAGGCCCCAATTCAGGTGCAAGCTTCAGCAGATACCTACCTTCTACCAAGTCTCAATGCAAGCTGTGCCACACCAGAAGCATTTGCTTTTGGCAGTCAGAAGTTCCTGGAAATAGGTCCTCCATCCCCATTTTTTTTCCATAAATCTCATTGAATGTGATATGAAAAGGCTGCATGCATCATGATTTAAGTTTCATTTCCTCTACTTCTTTGGTTTTAGTTTCCCATGACTGCTAACAGACCACAGAAGGCATTTTTCTCAATAAGTACCAGAGGAGCTCTGTGAGAGCTCAGGAATCCCTGAGAAGCCACTACCTGCTGCAGGACTAAGCCTTGTCTCACAGAAATTTTCCTTTCATTAAGTTTTGTGTTTTTTTTTCCTTTCAAGAGTCTGCTGCTGCAGTGACTGAGCTCACAAAGCCACTCACCGTAGGAGTCGTAGGTGTCTTCACTCAGTCCGTGGCCATAGTCGTAGTAATCTGCTCCACTGCAGGGCAGGAGGGGCACGGAGAGAAGGAGAAAGAAAACATGAGAAGAAATACTTATTACACATTCTACCTCTGAAAAGAAAGCTTGCAGGATATAGGACATGCCCTAAGAAAGGTAAGTATCCATGTGACAGTGATAACTGAGGTCCTGCTTGTTTATTAATTAAAAACTATATTTAATTTAGTTTAGGATTTTTTTCAAGAGTGGATGAATTACATATTCATGGCCTGAAACAGTCCTCCATTTCATAATGATTTTTATATTTGTATTAAGACCCCTGAATGGAAACAGAAGAACAACCCTTATTACACATCATTCTATTATGCTTTCGTATTTCATTCAAGTCTAGGTATGTTTAGTCTTTTACTACAGCAAAAGTTTGTAGAATGTGAAAAGCAAATGCCTAAATATTTATTTTCCTTTTCTTACTAACCACAGCCAGCCTCAGGGCTGACAGTATTTGGAAAATACTCTATGAAATGATGCTACCAGATTAGCACTCAAACTTTTTATTTCCCTTTATGGATTGATTCTGCAAGGAAAGACCTTTTCATAGAATCACCTCCTGAGTGAGAAGGAAATCACTAATATATGATCACTAGCAAGTAATTACTGATATTGACAAAATGTTCCTAACATTAGATTGATTGCTAACAAAATAAACACCAGAGTGAAAATAAACAATTTATAGCCTTAACATGAATTAGCAGGTAAAGCATTTATATAAAACAAACAACACATCACAATTACTCCTGAACTGACAAAAGACTTCGCTGTGCTTGAGTTCTGTTTTAGTTTGTTTGTCTTTTTAAACTAAAAGTTTTAAACCCCTCAAAATAACCAGGCCAGAAAAAAATTCAGTTTTGGCATGTGCAAATGCTTACCTAAAAATGCTGGATGAGTATATTTTATTGCTGGTATAATGCTTACTAAAAAAAAAAAAATTAACCAACTGCACTTTGAAGACTCAAAGAATTATCTCTACAAAACCTTTTCTCAATTGTTTCTCAGGTGATGAGGACCCCAGAATAAGGGCAAAGTTTGAATAAGAAGTTATTTTCTCCCTGCAGCAGCCAGTAATAGAAGTCTTTATTCTGACAATGAACTGAAAACTGACATTCACTACCCTTCCACAGAGAACTTATTTATTTTAGGACTGTGATCGAGTTTGGAAGTCTAAAGCAGCTGAGCTCCATCTCTGTATCTGTCAATTCTGTCAGAATGACTTTGTGGGGTCTCATTTCATAGAACTAATACAACTATTAAACAAAGAAATTACTCATTTTACAGCACACAAACTGCAAAACAAATATCAGAAAGGAAGGAACCTTTCACTTATACTGAAAGTACATCACAACTCATCTTTATTAACAGACAAACCCTTCAAAACTAATAACCTGTCTGGAAAGTACAAGGTACAATGAGACATAAACTTGTCCAGTGTAATTCAGTACTCCCTGCTCTACTTCATTCATATTCTATGAATAATGCCAACATTCTCCAGACAACTCTGTGTTAAACAAATCCAAAGCTTCTGATGAGAAAACCTCAAGACCCAAAGAAAAGGTACAGATGGTTGTGTAAGGAGGTCTGGGTGAAAAAGACCCCAAATACTTAAAAGATATTTTTTTGTTTAATTTGTTAGAGTGTGACTATTCTGTGGTGTTCACAACCAAGACCACTGCTAGTGGGTTTGAGTTTTTGAATTACAAAAAATTCTAGCACTGTATATGAACCCACAGTTTACAGAATTTTATTTTGTTTCAAAGCAACTGCCTGCAAAAAGCAAACTTATTCAAAGCACCCTTCAGCAATACTAAACTTCTAAACTGTACATTTTAACTCATTAACTGAGATAATTGAGGTAATTTCTGCTGCAAAGACTTAAGTATCTATATTGAATAATTCTTCCTGTGAAGAAAGATATAATATACATTTTTGCTTTAAAATCATCCTTTAGATTTAGACTCTTTTATATATAAATTTGCTGACATCGTATCAGTATGACTAAAGACTATTAAACTTTTTATTTCCCTTAATGGACTTATTCTGCAAGGAAAGGCCTTTTTATAGAATCACAGAAAGGCTTGGGTTGGAGGGGACCATAAACATCACCTAATTCCATGGGCAGGAACACCTTCCACTAACCAGATAGCTCATGTTGCTTCTCTTCCTTTCATTCTGTCTCATAGAAAGGAAAAAAAAAATCCTCTAACAGTTAATTTTCTTATCTCATGTGACTCACTCCTTTCACAAAAAAAGGAGAAAACATGACATAGATTATTCCCTTTTTAACCCAACAAGATTAGATGTGGACTCTGCTTGGAGTGCTTTTGTTTTGCAATATGAATTGTCTTCATGAAATCACTTTATTTTTCCTCATTCCCTATGCATCTGCTTTTTTAGATAAATAATTGGATTACATGCTATAGCCGGCTGAGTTGTCAAGCATGTTCCTACAGCAATTAACACTGGAGTATCAGCTGTGATTCAGATCTTTTGTACACACACACCTTTTGCTTATATCCCCTCTTTTTAACTTCTTTTGTATTCCCATTCCAGCATAATGGCTGTGGGTTGACAAGAGAGAAGACAGAGACGGCAAAGAAAAATTGCTTTGATTTTCCATGTCAGCATAAAAACTTAAAAACACTTAATGCTATGGAAGGATTAAAAAACAACAATAAATTTAAGTATGTTGCTTTTAATTCCTGAGGGCTGGGCAGTAATCCTACAATGTTCAGAGGAAGTGTGAAATGAGGCTTGAATAGTGTGAGGCCAGGGGAAGAACCTCTTTTCTGTGTTAAGAGAAAAAAGCTTCAGACAGGAGCAAGCTCAGATTTTAGCACAGCAGCACTGATGAAGCAGAAATGCTTCTCTAAGGCTTTATTTAAACTAGAGGACTGGGAAGCTTCCTGCAATTTCTCTAGAATCACTACAGAAGTATCTTAAAATACTTTAATTTAGAGGTATTCAACATAAGCCTTCAAAGGCCCTATGAAAAATGACCTCAATTTCTCAGGCTTTTCTACTAAGCTGATTTGTTTCTGAGAATATCTTGATGAACCATAATAGAACAAATGTTTATAAAAAACAAATAGGAGTAACAGCTCCTGACATGACTGTGAAGTCTTAAGGAACTTTTTATACTTTATTAACTATTAGGTTATTCTACCTAGAGATACTGGAATATTCACATAGGACAGGAATCAACAGAAGAGTAGCTTCAACCCAACTCTCATTGGTAGAACCACCATCCCTGGAAGTGTTCAAGAAATGTCTGCATGTGGTGCTGAGAGCTGTGGTTTAACTGATTTGGTGGTGTTTGTTCAAAGATTGGACTTGTCTTGGGAGGTCTTTTCCAGCCTTAATGATCCTGTGATTCCATATCAAAAACTATTTTTGGGACAATCCTAAAACAGGCAGATCAACCACACACAGTCCAAGTGTACTTCCAAAAATGCACAAAGGTAGTAAAAATATATTGTACTTAATTCATGTGATTGCCACAGCTCTTTATATTTGATACAGACATCTTTTAGAATGGCCATTATGACATTTCTGTGTTTGGAACAGAAGCAGTGTGGCTGGGAACCTGTTTGCAAAAGGGAAGATTAAAAGGTCTCTGACTGAAAGCTTCTAGTTTACTGGAAAATCCCAGACTTAAACACTGACAGGCCTGGTATAAGCACTGAATGATCTGAAACTTACTTTGGCTTCTTATGAAAAACAGCCTTGGCCAACAGTTCAGCTTCCAGTAATGCTTATTAGGGACAAACTGACCAAAATCTTGACTTTTTCTTTTTCACACAAGTATCACAAGTAATTCTGATCCCTTTAGGCAGAAACCAGGGCAGTTTCAGAAAGTGACAGTAAAACCCTTGCAAACACCAAGGTTTCCTTTTGTGCCAAGGGAAGCTCCAACAAACACCACCCTTTGTTTGTGCTTCCACCCAGAGTTGAACAGAACAACTAAACAGAAAAAGCAAATGAGGATCTCTGTAGCCACAGTTCTATAATGATAAACCCTGACTGATATGATCACATCTGAAGAGAACTCTTCCATAAGCATAAGCATCTTTCCATCATTCCTGTCAGATCTTCATGCTCAGCTACTTCTGATAACAAAAAGCATCTGTCAACAGCAAACAGGAAGAATGACCAAGACAACAACCACTGCAGTGAAGCTTCTCATATCTCCATCATGTCTCAAACACTGAGTAGCTGCTTCTGTGGACCACTAGAACACCCTATTCTGGAACCCAGCTTACAGCAGGACAGCAGAAATCCCAAGTTTGAAGGGGAGACACACATATTTTCTTGCACCTTGCAGATAAATTTTTAGTTAATACCCAGTTCTGCTGCTACTTAGTAGAGATTTCTTTAGTACATACTTTTATCCCTGCAGCTCAGTTTCTGTCTGTCAAACAGATAATGAACTCAGACAACAACTGAGACCCCTATGTGAGCATTTTATAAAATACAGAAAAACTGCACAATATTTCTTGAATTATAGCCTATTATACTCTCAAATAGATCATACAAACAGCAGATTTATTACCAGTAATCCTAAAAGGTGACCAGAGTGCCCTCTCAAGGATCCCCTTAGCTATCACTATTTAGAAATTACTTTTTATGGCAGAAATGAAAAATTTCACTTCTGAATAGTGAAACATCCTCAGAGGAATGTGCATTCTGGTACTTTCTACCAAGCACAGACCTATCTAGATACTTCTAGCAGAACTCTACACGGTTGCCTAGAGCAGTTTTACCATCTGAAATGTCCAGTTATTGCTGTCTCAACTCAATTAGTCTTTCCCTACTACATTCTCATAAGCTATCTCTCAAAAGAGGAAAGGAAAATGGCAATTAAAAGAGGTAATTGAAGCACATGGTGCAAATAAGGTTTCTCAGGAACAGCAGCAGCAGGAGCTACAGCTTTACCTTGTGACTATGAATAGGACACAGCAACAATACATCCCTGAACATGAGAAATGC